ACAAAAAAATTATTAAATTTTGTCAAAATTTGAACTTTAAATGCTTATAATTAATATTGTGCCTATGTATTTTTAATATTTTTCAACTGCTGTAATAACAATATATCAAAAAATCATAAATTGTATTAATATTTATAGAAAAAATAAACAAAAAAATTGAATACTGACAATGTCCGTAAAAAGCTAAAGAAGAGTCAAAATGTTATGGTGTATAGAAAATGAAAATACTATAAACATTCAGTAACATTTTCATGTATCTACAGTTATTCATTTTTTAATAATAATAAAATAACAAAACCTCTACATAAGAAATCGAGTGAATATAAAATATTGTAAAAAAAATGAATTTCAAACGCTCATAAAAATTTAATTTTATTATTGCGTGTAGAAATTTTTTTTTTTTGATAGAGGAAGAAAAACTAATGAGGAATCTTGTAATACAATTTCAAATCTTAGATTTCAAAAGAAAGACTCAAAAAACTTTGCTAATTTTCTTGATTTTTCCGTATTTTTCAAGATTTGAACTTTAAATGTTTATAAAAAATATTGTGACTTAGGATTTTTAATATTTTTCAAATGTCATTGTAACAATATAGTAGCAGCTTTGTACTAGATTTTTAAGCTTTTTTTCCCACCAAAGTTTTATTTTCATTCATAGAAAAAAATACTAATACAATTTCAAACTGAAAATGTCCATAAGTCGTTAAGCGATTTCTGATTACGCTGCTAGATGTAATGTTATATATCTTTTTTTTTTATTTTAAAACACTTTCCCATCGAACAAGATACTGAAGTTGAAAATCGAAGCATTATTTCACAACTATTATCGTGTACACAGACAAAAAAAAACACACATCATTGTAAAATCAATACATTCATGAATTAATATTGTAAATTACAATATTAATTCAACTTACAGGCCATTATAAAATATAATAACAATAAAAAATATCCAGACTGACAAACTGTCTCCTCTCAGAATCATTTTTCGTACACAATAATATGATATCATCGAATTCAAATTTAATACAATCCATTATACAGTGACCCACTTGTAACCTACTGTACAGCAGAGCGACATCCACTTACCCGCTCTACCCTTCAGTACTAACTATCCTATCAGTCGACCAACGACGAACATAGACACTCTTCCCGCATCGTTTGATTCAGACTGTACGGGCCGGGTACGAACAATAATAGTGCGTGTCGCCGTTCACCTAAATACTTCGCGCGCTGTACTCACACACCGACCGACCTGTGTAAAGATGTGTATGTGTGTGTAGCGACTCAAAAGAAGAGGACGGGCAAGACCAGAGAGTGGTAGTGTGTGGTGGATGTGTAAGTGTTTGTATATGTGAGAGTGTGTAAGCATAAAACTATGGGACAAGAAGGTAACTCTAAAATGGTAACACGGTTGCTGGTAAAAATGGTTGCTGTATTGTACACAAAATAAATAGTTTTTTATTGACACAAGGAATATAAAAAATTAAATTAAAATTAACGAGTACAACAACTCAAAACATAGGATAATAGGTATGACACCAGTGCAAGCCGATGCAAATCCGGCATCTGTCGTAATTAAACAACGAACAATTATTAATGGATCAATCAAATTTAACATTGGTGATAACGTTCGTATAAGCACATATAAAAGTGTATTTTCAAAAGGATATTTACCTAGCTGGTCTACAGAAATATTTAAAATTAACGAAACATTACCTACTACTTATCAGCTACAAGATTATACTGGAAAACCGATTAATGGTTGTTTTTATTCAGAGGAAATATTGAAAACAAACTATCCGAATGACTATTTAGTAGAGAAAATTATCCGTAAGAAGGGGATCAAATTGTTGTCAAATAGCTAGGGTTTGATAATACGCACAATAATTGGATAAATGTACGATTATCCACGATTTCTCCTTCGTTTCGTCATATCCTGGGGTCTTCATGTTGTTCGCCTTCGCGTACCTCTTACTCGCTTGTACCAAGCCAACACGTATACCTATAAAAATTAAGAAGAATATTATTATTATATTCATATTTTATAAATAATATATTAACCATTCTCAAACATCAATAACATATCGTAATCGTCCAGCAACTGCAGTTTCTGCCCCGTGAACTTCAGCATCGCATCAAAACTAAGTCCAGGGACGGTAAAATAACGTGCAGGATCTAAGTTGTACGCCCTCATACATACGTCACGGAAGTTCTCAAACACGTCAGCCAGTAGTAACACGTCAATTTTTAAGTAAAGGTCGCTATATTCTCCCAACGTCGTACACCCGAAGTGGTCCCAGACCTGTAACATACAACAATTTTCAAATATAGATCTAAATACGTGTACAGTGTACACATACCTCCTTAGCATGGTCAAATTCACTCTCCTTAATGCCGGTCTCCGTCAACGTACTATAAAAATCTCGCTTCCTCGGTAACCTCGTATTCTCCTACCGCTCCCAACTATCTGTGTACTCGTACGGTTACACCCACTTACGAGTCACGAGCGGCATATCTCCGGCGACAAAATGTTTAGCTGTCTCACGAAAGTTCTCCAGACCCGGTGTAATTAAATTTTCAGCCAGGGACTATAAACTTGACGCCATAAGCCAGAACGTGTCTATGAATCTGTTTGTTAACGTATTTGACACGTATTTGGAAAATGAAATAAACTTATCCTCGCTGTTGGGTATAACCGTGATCCTCTGCGTATCAAATCCTAACTCTGTCACTATAAAATGAGCATCATATAGTTTGGGAGATTATGAAAAAATACGGGGACAAATTTAGGTTGTTGTAACTCTAAGTTACACCTAGAGCACAAGGTATGCCTAAATTTGCCCATCAGATGGTCATGATCTTTAACCTTATCGCCCCCGGCTAAACTACATTTGCATAAGTTACTCTCCTTACACTCTTGGTGTGTTTTTTCTTCACCCTCGGTCATTTTTATTGGTATATTAGTCTTCATCAATTCTTCAATTTTCAGTGCCACCTCAACTACCGTCTCCTCAAAATGTGCCACGTCCGTCCTATTTTCGTCGCCTCTATGTTTTACCGGCCCCGATGGTATCTCATGTCGAGCCAATAACTCCGCCGGTACGTCATCGCTCGCCTTCACTAAAAATGGATAACTCATCGCCTCATGTTTATGAATAATCGTTGTACTCGTGCTTTTCTTCTCCTCCGTCTTCACCAACAATGATTCAAAATCCGCGTATATTGCAAACGGGTGACGCTGTGTCTTCTTCCACGCCTTGAACTCTACACACTCCCCCTCCTTCAGCACTTCCGGCAGAATAGGGTTGTGCAACCCGCAAATAAGTTTATGATGGTTCAGAGCTTCCTGCTCGCTCGGCTTGTACTTACAATTCTGGTTATCGAAGCTTATGAAACACCTCTTACAAAAAACAGCGTGACCATTATGTCTAGTTTTTTGCGCTCGTATCAACTGAGAAAAATTCGAAATATACGCAAAGTGAGAATTATCGCCTTCCGTTACCAACAACAGGTCGAAATTATCCTTCTTTTCTTCATCGACTACTTGTAGCTGATATACCTCATACCTAGGTACTTTAGGTATTTGGAACTTTTTTTCCAGTCCGTTAACATTTAAGGATACATTTCTGTTATTTTTTTCGAATTTAGCTATATCGGACAGAGGTGTTGGGAAGGTGATTCCTTCGAAGTTGTATTTATCCTCGTATTGTCTATAATTTTCACCGATACGGTATACCACCTCCCCCTTCACATGCCTCGCCAAAATCGCCCACTTGGAACATTGCTGGTCTACATTTTGCGGGTTGATGGTGCCCCGTTTCCTTTCGATATATTCAGGTAACTGAATATACGACGAGCCACCCATCGGAGTATATTTATATATGCCTAGCAATAACCCGTCGATGGACTGTAGTGTATATCCACTTCCGCGTGATTTATATTCTTCTTCTTCCTTCAACAACTTGATGTACGCCCTCTCAATGATCGTACTAATGTCACTATCTGAGAAAATTTCTATGGACGATGTTTTGAACGCCCTGTTCTCCGACGAATTAGGGACGTTCGACGGTTGTACGTAGCCACAAGCTTCAAATTGAATTTTATAGGGTGTTTTTTCAGACATGTCTTTAATAAATTTTCAAGCTCAGGCATGAGCGAGCGAAGAAAGTAGAGATAATTTTGAACGTTGTTAATATTTTTGGCATAATACCACACGCTTTTTCGATTCACAGACGAGGAAATTTCAGTGAACCCAGGAGTCTTAACCATGTCTATCCTAGCTTTTTTCACCCTAGCTAACGAGGCGGTGTTTGCAGTGGAAACCCGTTTACCATTTACACATGTATTGTAAGAATCTTTAAAAAAAAAAATCCTAATTAATATCTAATGAAAATAAAAAAGTGGTATCGAATCTATTAAAAATCTAATCAAATGTGCATGTGATAAATAAAACCTATTGGTTTATAATATAACGACATATGTCTTTGTATAATTAATCCACGGCGGATAAATTATAAATATTCTAATTAATTCGGGTTTGAAAAAAATTTTACTAACCTGTATTATCGTCCATGCAAATCTCGTCCTCAGACACCGTGTTCGAGCCACCAGCTGGAACATCGGGGGCAAATATTCGAGGGGAAATCTGAATATGTCCCTGAGGAGTAGGTCGAGTAATACGAGGTGCGAACTGTATGACACTTTGTCGTTCTGGTTGGGCAGAGATATTGAATTAGATATTAAACCTAACAGATCATAAAATAAATATTAAAAATAAACATACCATGCTTCTTTTTCTTATGTCTATTTAGATGAAATTTGTAGCTGAAGATCGACGCACAAACAGTGCACGTGAAACGAACACCATCGTGATTTTTTCCATGTCTGACTAAAGTATCTTTACATGTAAACGTGGATGGACACTGCTCGCATTTAAACATATTTAAATTGTGAAAACGAAATAATAAAATATTTAAACAATTTGTCTATACATTTTCTCAATATCCGCTGTCATAACGACTGCATGAATACGAAATATAAATAGAATGGCTCTTAAATCGTCCTGAATTGATTGTAGGGCCCACCATGAGGGTATCATTCAGTGACACGGACGTTGATGTGTCAAACACAACTCGTACTTTAGTCGTAAGGCTTTCCTGTATAATTACCGCGTGATGAGGCAAAAACAACTGATATTGTTCTTTTCGATTTTCAATTGCTTCCAGATTTGATGTCATGTGTCCTAACTCGATGTATTCATGCATAAACTTTACATATTTTTCTTTCAATTCTCGATTTCCTTCAAGTTTTAGTTCCATCGTATAAAACCGTTTTTCCACTATCACTCGAGTTTCTCCCAGCTATCTTACATTTTCTTTAAACGGTAATTCAGAATTCTAATGTGAATCGACCATTCTCCTCTCTCCGATAGGTGTTTAGAAAATGTTCTTCACATCTTTATTCTTCCGTTGAAAACCCTTGAACTGGCGACGACCGTACAACCTCTTCTAGCTCCCAAAATTTTTGAAATTGCCTTTGGATTGGATCGAGTGCTGTCGCCGACAAACAGTAAATTGGGTTTGTAGAAGTTATATGCCCTGACAAAATCCAACCAAAAACTGTTTGTTGTCAAATGGCATCAGTGACTGCTGGTCTAATTTGTCCAATACATAGAAGTCGAAAGAACACTTGAGTTCCCACAATCATATCGATTTTCCGCGTTGAACATACATCCGGATCTGCGTATTCTTTGCTGTTAATCACCTTCGTTATGTTTTCTTTGGGATATACTGTAGGTAGTGTACCTGACACGTTCTGCATTATAAAAACTGAAGACAGGCTTCGAACGCGTTTAATCTGGATTTATAGCCGTAAATTCACCAATTGGTGTACATGAGTTCCCGGGGACGCCACGAATTGTAATGTTTGCCGATTTTATAGGATTACCAAGTTTCGTAGCTAATTTCATAGTCATCAAATTTACCTCTGATCCCGAATCGAGGAGGACTCGAGCAGAGACTTTTTTCCATTAGACGTCATATTCATATAACAACGATCTGACTAACTTAAATTTTGTCACGATGATATTATGATATTACAATTGGTTTAAGTAACCACGCTCTTCTACCAATGATGCCTCAGTGGGCTATTACGCTATACTGTACTGAAGTTGGTTATAATATAGTAATCGTTTTATTATAATATTATTATATGAATATATTATATGGTATATTAGTATAAGACTAGTGAGGGGACTTGGCTAGGCAACTTCACCAACACGTTAGGCGCTCGATATAGGCAACATCACTCCCGTCATTGCCATCCGCAGGAATGATGGTGGAGATGAGTCGCGACTGACACACTAGAATAACAACACATACAGGACGAACTACTGGAAACAGTTCATAGGACACGGGATGGCGAGAGGACGGAACAAGCTGGTTTGACACAATACCAGCACAACTTATGAACTAACTTAATAACTAAGGCAGGCAATGATGACACTTGTACCTGAATCCGCGATGCTCTTTTCGACCTAGGTGGCCTAGGTGTTGGCGGACTTATGCGTCGTGGCCAGAAACTGGTAGGTCCTCGAATGCCCGATGATCACGTACCAGAAGGTGACACACACAAGGGTCCACGAAGCGATGTGCTGGTGGTGGTCATAAGGGTATGAGGGGTGCGGGTGTCGGGTGTCGGGTTGTGGTTGCAGAACTCTCTTTTTTATACTACTGTTGATTACCAATACCATGAAATGAACAAGGTGACCACGGTTTAGATATTATTGTGGCGACCCACAACAATGGTTTAAATCAAGAAAAATAATAATTCAGTCAGAATAAATAATATAAAAAAAAGGTACACATACCTACTACATATAGTTGTAAATAAAGTAAATAGTAAACACAAAAATAATCTTCACCCAGAAAATAGACTCAGGATTTTATTTTTGTAATATTAATTGATTAATGTATAAATGGTAATGCGGTTAACGACTCAAATTTATTAATTTAATTGTATTATCATTTAACAATCACCACGGTAATTTAAAAGGAGTAGGTATTGTTCAAATATCCGTGTTTTGAAATTAATAAAAAATGCTTCATTTATCACTTTCTGTCCCAATAAGTTCTGTATTTAATGAAATAAATTTTCAGCTTAGGATATTCGGATATAATAATATATTATTATAAGAGTAACTTACAACTATATTGTCCAATTGATTCTCTAAGTAGTCTATTACAGCTATTGAACATTTGAAACATTTTAAAAAAACTGCCAATACTCAGCACTCATAGTGATCAGAGTCTTAAACTCTAATGATTAATAATTAGTAATGACGTTTATGAGCATTTGGAAAAAAGTATTTATTAAAACAATCACATTATAACACATGATTAACTTTTTTATATTATGGGAAAATTACTATACCCTCCTACTTGGACACAACTTGGGGGGGGGATACTACAGAAATTACGTTTAAATACATAGTATTATTGTATTATAATGAAAGTACCTGTACATGGTTCGTTTGGTGCCACTGTGTACTTTGTGTGATGACATATTATAAAGGGGTCCGTGTGATGACGAGTGCCATGGTTTGCCCACTCCTGATAAATAGTATGTTGTAATATATATTATTATCAAAATGGTGGAGAAAAACGAGTCTAATAATTAATGATATAATGAGTTTTATGTTAAACCATGTCTTTAATAATAATTTAAATAGTAAAATTTTAGTTACAATATTTATATATTTCAGAAGTAATATGTAGTTTAGATAGCCCTACCGAAAGAACGCCACTGGAGGTTTATAACCGCGGTATCAGTAACTCCCAGTGGCGGTTTTGGCATGTCATTTTACATGAGGCGGAAAAATATTAAATAGTAAATTCAATATTACACTAATACAATACACGTCCTACGACTACGTCATGAGCAGACGAATATTTCACGACCAAAAGATAACAGACGTGCGACACCGCGACGGCAGTCTGGCAAGCGCAGCCCCCCACCTAGCAAGTAGCGCGGCTGCATACAATTAATGTACCGGCGGTCCCGGCGGCAGCGGCCAGTGTTTATAATATCGTTGTGCGGTTGATTTTAGTCGCCTCTGGTGGCGGTTTGCGCATGCGCAATTTACACTATTTTACGAGCTTATATCTGTGTGCGTAGGCCGTAGACGCACCTCGCATGCACTAACTTTAGCGACCGACGGCCGCTACCGCCTCTCACCTCTGTCGATCCTAGCGCTTTAGCGGTGGCGGCGGCGCCGTGCCGGGCCGGACGCAATATTAAATGGAAACTATTAATATTATAATAGCTCGTAAGTTACGTTGCAGCGACGCGCAGCCATTCTCGCGTTCGCACAAGTTCTGTACAAAAAAATAATATTCAGTATTGTTGTTATATATATAAATATATATATATATATATAAAATAAATAAATATAAATATATAAATTAAAATTAAAAATTAAATTATACGATTAAAATTTTAAATTTTAAAATAGTACAAAATACCAATATAAATTACCAAATATTTTTTACTTTCGTAAAAATTACAAGTGAGGCGGTGCCTCACTTGCCTCACCTCCAAAACTGCCACAAAACTCCCGAGGACAGAAAATGATAAATGAAGCATTTTTTATTAATTTCAACACACGGATATTTGAACAATACCCACTCCTTTTAAATGACCGTGGTGATTGTTAAATGATAATACAATTAAACTAATAAATTTGAGTCGTTAACCGCATTATCATTTATACATTAATCAATTAATATTACAAAAATAAAATCCTGAGTCTATTTTCTTCGTGAAGATTATTTTTGTGTTTACTATTTACTTTATTTACAACTATATGGAGTAGATATGTGTACCATTTTTTTATATAATTTATTCTGACTGAATTATTATTTGGCTTGATTTAAACCATTGTTGTGGGTTGCCACAATAATATCTAAACCGTGGTCACCTGGTTCATTTCGTAGTATTGGTAAGACTGCAGTGTTGCCAGCTGACGCACGTGGTTTCCCGTCCACAATGTTGGCATACTATTGCCATTGCCATACAGTACCATAACCTGCCATACAGTGCCATAACCTACATTTTGTAGTTAAAATTTAGTTATATTCAAAACATAATGATTTTAATAATTATTTATTTATAATTTTAGATAAGATGTCTTCTACTAATAACAGTGCACCTGAGATCATGATTTTCAGACCAACATGGGACGAATTTAAAAACTTTAGTAGCTACATCGAGGTGATGGAGTCCCAAGGGGCTCACAAGGCTGGTGTGGCAAAAGTATGATATTATAAAAATGTAGCTATTTTTTACATCAATTTCAGATATTATAGATACAATTTGATTTTTTTTTTCTTCTAAATATGTAACATTAATCTTGAAGGTTATACCACCACCAGAATGGATACCAAGAAAAAAGAATTATGATGAAGATGATATTATGAGTATGATAATTCCCTCTCCAATTCGTCAAGTAATATTTTTAAGCCTTTAACAAACTTTGTCTAATAAATGTTTTATTGATTTAGGCTGTAGAACGTACAAAAGGCATTTTTGAACTAATTAATGTTTATGAGAAAGCCATGACAGTAGCTGAATTCAGAATAAAAGCTGAGTCTGAGAAATATAAGACACCTAGCCACCTTAATTATGGGGATCTTGAAAGAAACTTTTGGAAAAATGTTATTAACAATTCCCCATTGTATGGTGCAGATGTATCTGGATCTATAACTGATGAAGATGTTGATGTATATATTAAATTAATACATTTATAAATTATGATTAATTTTATATCAAATATATTTTTAAACTAAGTAAATAATTTTTTTTTTTATTAAATCAAGGTTTGGAATATTAACAAATTGGGAACCATATTGGATTATGTAAACGAAGATTATGGTTTAACTATTGAAGGTGTTAATACAGCTTATCTTTACTTTGGAATGTGGAAAACCTCATTTCCTTGGCACACCGAAGACATGGACTTGTATAGTATAAACTATATACACTATGGATATCCAAAGACATGGTATAATTATTCTTACATTTTATTATTAGTATAGCTTTGTAATTACACAATATTTTTAAATTTAAATTGCATATATTTTATTTATTTAGGTATGCAGTACCTCCAGAACATGGTCACCGCCTAGAAAAAGTGGCTAATGAAATGTATCCAGGCTATGCTTCAATATGCCCGGCATTTCTTCGACACAAAATAGCTGTAATATCTCCTACTCAGTTAAAAAAAAAATGTATCCCATTTAATAAGGTAATACTAAAGAATTGTTAACTTTAAACTAGATTATCAATACTTATGATTTTTTTTATCATCAATATTATTGTTTGCTATAGATCACACAAGAGCAAGGTGAGTTTATGATAACATTCCCATTTGGCTATCACGCGGGCTACAACCATGGGTTCAACATTGCAGAATCTACTAATTTTGCTACACCTCGTTGGGTAGAATATGGTAAAAGAGCTTCACAGTGTCATTGCCGTCCAGATTCGGTAAAGTTCAGTATGGATACATTTGTGAAGAGATTTGAACCTGAAAAGTATGAGTTGTGGCTTAAAGGAAATGATATCGGTGCCCATCCAGAAGACCCTTCTTGTACCTACTTCAGATGGGCACACACCTAGTAAACCCATTAACTTATTACACAGAAGTTAATAAACTTGAAGTATAGACAATTATTTATAATACCATTTGATCCAGAAGTTTGTGATGATCAGTTATTTTTTAATTTGAGTTTGTTTTGTGTAATAGAACCAGTTAATATGAAATTTGAAAATCTCACATCTGTGTTGATCATTCTAATTTTATTACAATAAATTGTGTTTATAATTGACTTAATTTAACTCTTGTACTTTTGAAATATTGGAATGTTAAGACTTCAATACATAGCATAATAATTAATAAATTGTTATTTTTTTTTTTAAATGTAATTATCAACATTGACTGATTTGTCTTTATTACAATAATTGTCGTCTTTAATTCATTAGGTAAACAATAAAATGTGCCCAGATAATTTAAAAAACGTTCAATATACTAATATGACAAGTTAAACATTCTTTTTTTTATCTATTTATTTAACCTACATTTTTTTTTTATAAAACATAATAAATAATTTAAACTTTAAGTTTATAAATATGTGTAAATATTATAAGATAATGTATAAAGTTCTTGAAAACCTATAAACTATAGTTAATTGTTTTTTATCTAGATAAAAACAATGTTATATTTTTCTTTATTTTGTTGTATCTAAGTAAATATATGTATATTGTTAGGTGAACATAATATATTTTTAGTACAGCACTATAGTACGTACAGTATGATACAAAAATATTAATAACCGCTTCAGTTTTGATGTCAATATAATTTACACATGGTACCTACTCACATTTTTCTATATATTATAGTACCTATATAATATATAAATGATCAGATAGATGATATTATATTGATATTGCTATAAATAAAAAAAAAATGTATTTTGCTAATAGTATAATAATAGGTTGAATTAATGTTTGCCGAAAACATTGAATTATAAAATTATATTATTATAAGGTATCGTATATTATAATTTGTCTACTATTAACAATAACAGATAATAGTATATTGTGTAGCAAGGGCGGGGAGTGAGCTATTTCAGAATAAGCAGAATATTTTTTTACAACTATTGCTTGGATTACCTACCTTTTATATTCTCTTCTGTTATGTCTTTAGTGGTTTAGTACAAAGGCACTCTTATTTTTAGGGGGTGGCGACTTTGATACAACTTTTTTCATATAGATTTAAAAAGAACCAATAATATAAAAAAAGAAAATAAGTTAATCAGAAACTCTAGGAATCATTTCATAATTTTAATAAATATTTCTATTTTTTCTACAGGTATCCAGACAGCAATGTAATGTTAATAAAAAATTGTGGGAATGTTCGCAATAGAATAATTACTTTCTAACAATGTTTTATTTTAATTTCCACATAATTATTCAATGTTCTTATACAATTCTGACATGATTATTTGGCCACAAAAGTAAAGTTTGCTTAACATTATTTAAAAATGTCCTATAACATTACCTCATATCATTCCTGTAAAATTGTTTTAATACATTCTGATAACATTGGCCTACAAAGTTCACAAAAAGTTACATCCAAAAATTCTTATAATCTTCTAATCAAATTATATCAAGAATATTTTACTATTGTACTTTTTTAAAAATTAATAAAAATATTTTACATTTTGTTGAAAGAAAAAAAAACTACAAGTTAATTAAAATAATAACAATTATTATTTATCAAACAATTTAAGACAATTATTTTATGTGTTTTTATTGTTTTTTTCTTCCTTATCTCTTATTCTAAACTTTGAATGATCCAACCAAACCCGTAATGGGACATACATTTTTTGATCTGGAACTTTATATGCCATATTGTACGTTCATTCTCACAGCATCTTAAACAAATAATTCATTATTAAATAATTTACCAGAAAATATATGCATATTTAAAAGATAGAAGATAGGAACATATATTATATTGGTCAGAAACGTGAAAGATGTGTGGGTATTTAACATTATATATTTTTAAAAAAACGTATAAACCTTAGAACTTATCAAAGAAGGTTAACAATCAGATCCCCTCATCAATTTTTTTTTTTATATTTAAATTATGTAGCAGTTGTACTATAATAATTTATTAAGATAATACATAGATTTTATTATATATACTATAAGTGTGCTAAATGCATATACAATAATAAGTATAGCGTTTTACTCTATCGAACATAGAAACAAATTAAATACTTGATACATACTAAATCATAAAATTATATAACTTTGTATTTAAAAAACAAAATGTTGCAATTTTTTTTTATAATGGTAAAAATCAATTAGCTTGATGAAAAAAATTATTCCTGTTGATTGTCCTTCTTAAACAAATCTTGTATATGCCACTTATATTTTTTTTATATTAAGTACATACTTAGGGATATTGCCGGGGTAAATGTATATAAGGTAAGAAGAGTTGTAACTTGTAATAACAATATATTATGTAGGTACAAATTTGTAATATTCTTACCAATAAGTACACAATAAACGTTCAGATTTCTAAATGTCTTATTATGTTTAAATCCAGTCAAAGAGTAGTTCAAAAGCAATGTATCATCACGTAAACGTGAGATTATTATTCGCACACTCGTGTTCAAATTGTTGTTATCTACTAATAATGACAACTTAAATACCTAAAATAAATAAATAAATTATTGATAAATGAAAGCTAATATATATATATATATATATAAGTGAATATAAGTCAGCCATCATAGAAGTAATAAATCAATTATATAAATAAGTTTTCCAATATTACCAGTTCATTTTTAAAGTGAATATCATCAATCTTTTTTTCTATATCCATAAGTTGGTCTTCAGTAGTTATAGGAAAAATATTCATATCCAAACTACTTTGTGTGGAGAAACTGTTGAAATAAAATTATTGTTATTTGATTTTGATATGAGTGCTTGAGAATTTTCATTTGTGACTTTAACAATATGCATCATAGCACTAATGTCATACTTAAAATGTGTTAAAGAAGTAAATACAAATTTTTGAAAATCTAAAAAACAAAACAAATGTATAAAATAATTACACTTATAATTATACATTATTAATAAAGTGTATATATAGGTCCTGCTGGTTATATTATTTTAAGAGGTGTAATTTATGTTTCTTAATATATCTACTGCACAATGCATTAAATCTACTATATATGCAAGAATAATATATTGCTGTATGTGTAATGTCAATTGTATTATGTACAGTATACACAATATTTACTTGATTGATATAAATATAACCATTATTATTGTAAGCAACGGTTTTTATTCAAGAGTGCAGTAAGTAATAATTTATTTAGAAGTTATATATGTTCTGAAGAATAATAAACATGTTATTAGTTTAATTTTGCATTACCATGAGAAGACATGGACATTTTATCATCAACATTAAATGGCGGATTTGTTAACTTTGATGTACCTACATCTAAAGTTGTTTCTATAACAAAAATAATATAGGTACTATATTTTTTTTTTTTTTTTTTTTTTTTTTATTGGTTAAGCATCAACTACATAGGTTATTAGCTTACAGGTGTTAATTTCTACATTAAATAATTATATGGTATTGTACTATTGTGCAATACAATTTTTTTTTTAAATAAAATTATGTTATGAAAGTTTGAAAATGGACCAATTGCTTCGTACAGGTTGTCTGGGATGTTGAGATCATTTCTAGAGTCGTTGAAGTTTGGGCAGTGGATGATGATATGCTTGATGGAGTAGTTTGTATTGCATGTTGGGCATAGGGGTGGATCTGTCTTTGCCATAAGATGTCCGTGTGTGAGTTTCGTGTGACCGATTCTGAGTCGATTGAGAATTACTTCATTTTTTCTGTTTAGTTCAGTGTATTTCGGCCAGAGTTCGACAGAGTGCTTAATTTCTCTCAATTTATTTTCCGTGGTCGTGTGCCACTGTGAGTTCCACAAATCAATACAGTATTTGTTTATATTTCTTTTTATATCTACGAGTGAGGAAAAAGGAATATTTTCACTGTCTGGACTATTGACTGCATTTCTAGCCGCTTCGTCTGCCTTCTCATTTCCCTTTATGTTACAGTGACCTGGGGTCCATATAAATCTGATTTCTTTATTTGATTTGGAAAGAAGGTTGCTGATTGAAAGAGCCAATGGTTCTGATAAGGTTTTGGATTGTAGATTTGCTAAGGCACTGAGTGAGTCAGAGCAAATATCGATTTTAGTATTGTTGATATCTAGGGCAAATTGAACTCCTTTCAATAATGCTAGGTATTCAGCTGAATAAATACTGCTTAATTTATTGAGTTTGTACTGTTTAGTTACATTGAGGTGTACTACTGCAAGTCCTATGCCCATTTCAGTTTTTGATGCATCAGTATAGATCTGAGTGCTAGTATTTGAAGTGTGTATTAATTCATTAAATAGGTTATTATAAATAGTATTTGGTGTTTCTTTTTTAAGGTGTTCTGTTAAGCTAGTATCAACTAGGTAATTTGGTTGTTTCCAGGTGGGTATCAGACTGCTTTCGCGTTGACATATTTCATTAATTTCAATGTTGATATCCATCATCTCTTTTTTGTAGCCTTAGCCCTAATGGTTTTCTTAGTTTAGAATTGTGTTCATATATATTTGAAAAGCGCTTTTTGTTTAAAAAGTGAATGGTTGAATTTTCCGGTGAAGAAAAGATGCGAGCTATATAATTAAGAGATAATTTAGTTCTTCGGTTCTGAAGTGCGGGTTCACCAGTCAAGGATAACAAACTAACAATCGGGCTGCTTTTGAATGCTCCAATTGAAAATCTCAGTCCGGCATTGTGGATTGTAACAACAATTTGTAAGAGCTTTGATTCTGAGTTTCCGTAACAAATTGAACCATAATCGAGTTTGGATCTTACGAGCGATCTATATACATTTAATAATATGGTTCCTTCAGCGCCCCATTCACAATGACTTAATGATTTGATGACATTAAAGCTTTTATATGAATTTTTTTTTAGTGACATAATATGGGATTTCCAAGAAAGCTTTTTATCGAAAGTGAGACCAAGTATTGAAATGTCTTCAACAAAGGGTAAACGAGATGTACCTAGAAAGAGTTTTGGTTTCGTTAGTTTCCTTTTATTCGAAAATAAAATACATTTTGTCTTTTGAGGCGAAAAAATGAAACCGGCTTTGAAGCACCATTCAAACAGGTCATTGAGGCATTTTTGGAGTGTTCCGGTCATTACAGAAATTTGAGTACCTCGAATATATATGTAAGTGTCGTCTGCAAAAATAATTGATTTTACAGGGTTTGTGATGATGCTGGGCAGGTTGTTAATTGCTGTTTGAAATAAAAAAATGCTGAGTGGAGAGCCTTGAGGCACTCCATTTTCTAACATGAAAGTATTCGATGTTTGATCTCTAATTTTAACTTGGAAGGATCGTTGGTTTAGGAAGTTGGTTAGGAAGATTAGCATGTTTCCATGTATGTTCCAATTCTTTAGTAAATTGATTACTCTATGTCGCAAAACCGTGTCGTATGCCTTTTGTAAATCGAGACTTATTAGTATCATTGATTGTTTATTGGCGAAGGTTTCTATGACTTCGGTTTCAATTTTTACGTGGCAGTCGGTGGTTGAGTGGTGTTTTCGAAAACCATGTTGACATGGTGAAAGGAGTTTATGATGAGTTGCGTACCAACTTAGTCGGTTGTAGATAATTTTTTCTAATAACTTGCTCATGCTGCAGAGTACCGATATTGGTCGATATCCTGTAGGTTTAAAGCTGTTTTGATTATTTTTTGGTATGTGTATCTTTTTTTAAATTATTTATTCTGACTGAATTATTATTTGGCTTGATTTAAACCATTGTTGTGGGTCGCCACAATAATATCTAAACCGTGGTCACCTTGTTCATTTCGTGGTATTGGTAATCAACAGTAGTATAAATTAAGAAAAGTGTTAAAAAGAGAGTTCTGCAACCGCAACCCGACACCCGACACCCGCACCCCTCATAACCTTATGACCACCACCGGCACATCGCTTCGTGGACAACCTTGTGTGTGTCACCTTCTGGTACGTGATCATCGGGCATTCGTGGACCTACCAGTTTCCGGCCACGACGCATAAGTCCGCCAGCACCGGGTGGTGTGTGAGAGGCTGCCTAGGTCGACCAGAGCATCGTGGATTCAGGCACAAGTGTCATCATTGCCTGCCTTAGTTATTAAGTTAGTTCATAAGTTGTGCTGGTATTATGTCAAATCAGCTTGTTTCGTCCTCTCGCCATCCCATGTCCTATGAACTGTTTCCAGTAGTTCGTCATGTATGTGTTGTTATTCTAGTGTGTCGGTAGCGACTCAACTCCACCATCATTCCTGCGGATGGCAATGACGAGAGTGATGTTGCCTATCTCGGGCGCCTAACGTGTAGGTGAAGTTGACTAGCCAAGGCCCCTCACTAGTCTTCTATTAATATAAATTAAAAAAATATATTATAATAATAATGTTGCCTATATCGAGCGCCTAACGTGTTGGTGAAGTTGCCTAGCCAAGTCCCCTCACTAGTCTTATACTAATATACCATATAATATATTCATATAATAATATTATAATAAAACGATTACTATATTATAACCAACTTCAATACAGTATAGCGTAATAGCCCACTGAGGCATCATTGGTAGCAGAGCGTGGTTACATAAACTAATTGTAATATCATAATATCATCGTGACAAAATTTAAGTTAGTCAGATCGTTGTTATATGAATATGACATCTAATGGAAAAAAGTCAGACGAGAATTTGAAGGAAGCAATAAGGAGACGGGGAGTGATTAAAGGGAAGTTAACTCGATTTGGTACATTTTTTAATGGATTCTTAAAAAATGACAAAAGAAATTTCACCGAGTTGAAGCTTCGATGTGATAAATTGAACGCATTGTATGATGAATTTGATACAGTTCATACGGAAATTGAAGAGTTCGACGATTCCGCGGATCAGCAAAGTGAAAACGAATTCTTTGCTATCCAAGCTGCCGCTTTGGAGGAAGGTGAAAATCATCGGCTATCAAATATACCGACATCAACTCAACCATATCAACAAAATGATAGTCAATTGTTTCAACTGCACCGTATAAGATTACCAGAGTTTTCCGGTGGGTACGAAAATTGGCAACCGTTTCGAGACAACTTTAGTGTGATGGTCGATAAGAAAAACATTTCCGCGGTACAAAAGCTCCAATATCTGCGTTTATCTCTCTCGGGGTCTGCTGCACAATTGATTAATAGTTTAGAAATCACTGACGTGAATTACCAAGTAGCTTTCGAGTTACTTACAAAACGTTTTGAAAATAAGCGTCTAATTGTACAGTCACATCTATCCAAACTGTTCGCGGTTCAACGACTTGAAAAGGAATCCGCAATAGAATTACGTGTTTTTTACAATACATTCACAAGACACTTAGGTGCATTAATGGCAGTTGGCACCTTTAGTATTCATTGCTGCCTCAAAATTATATGCTAGATCGTTGATGTAATGGGAAGTGTCCAGAACGGACACCAGCTTGCCCACTTGGATGGAATTTGATACATTTCTTTCTCGTCGGTGTCACACACTTGATGCTGTTGAAGTATCAAAAGGTCAATCTAAGGTGCCAAATAATCACTTATCAGTTCAAGGGTCACGAAGGTCGTTTACAACATTTCAGGATAACTCAATGACGATCGAAGACACAACCACAAAATGTCATATATGCAAAATTCCACATGCGTTGTATCAGTGTTCACGGTTTTTAGAAATGAGAGCTCCGGATAAGGTGAAAACGGCTCTAGTAGCAAATGTTTGTTTAAACTGTTTACGGAGTGGTCATAGAGCATCTACATGTCGTAGTTCTGGCTGTCAAAGGTGTAATAAGCGACACAACAGTAAATTGCATTTAGAAGAAGATGAACGAGAAGAAGCATTTTCCAACAACATAATACTGGTACAAGAAACAAGCAATGATATATTGAGCAGTCCTGAAGTACGAGAACCTGCAGTCGTTTGAAATGCACAGATAAGTACTAATGGTAATATAAAAGGAAAATAAATAGCCATGTTGTCGACAGCAATAGTCGTCATAAACGATGTTGGGAATGAGAAAGTAACTGCTCGAGTCCTCCTCGATTCGGGATCACAGGTAAATTTGATGACTATGAAATTAGCTACGAAACTTGGTAATCCTATAAAATCGGCAAACATTACAATTCGTGGCGTCCCCGGGAACTCATGTACACCAATTGGTGAATTTACGGCTATAAATCCAGATTAAACGCGTTCGAAGCCTGTCTTCAGTTTTTATAATGCAGAACGTGTCAGGTACACTACCTACAGTATATCCCAAAGAAAACATAACGAAGGTGATTAACAGCAAAGAATACGCAGATCCGGATGTATGTTCAACGCGGAAAATCGATATGATTGTGGGAACTCAAGTGTTCTTTCGACTTCTATGTATTGGACAAATTAGACCAGCAGTCACTGATGCCATTTGACAACAAACAGTTTTTGGTTGGATTTTGTCAGGGCATATAACTTCTACAAACCCAATTTACTGTTTGTCGGCGACAGCACTCGATCCAATCCAAAGGCAATTTCAAAAATTTTGGGAGCTAGAAGAGGTTGTACGGTCGTCGCCAGTTCAAGGGTTTTCAACGGAAGAATAAAGATGTGAAGAACATTTTCTAAACACCTATCGGAGAGAGGAGAATGGTCGATTCACATTAGAATTCTGAATTACCGTTTAAAGAAAATGTAAGATAGCTGGGAGAAACTCGAGTGATAGTGGAAAAACGGTTTTATACGATGGAACTAAAACTTGAAGGAAATCGAGAATTGAAAGAAAAATATGTAAAGTTTATGCATGAATACATCGAGTTAGGACACATGACATCAAATCTGGAAGCAATTGAAAATCGAAAAGAACAATATCAGTTGTTTTTGCCTCATCACGCGGTAATTATACAGGAAAGCCTTACGACTAAAGTACGAGTTGTGTTTGACACATCAACGTCCGTGTCACTGAATGATACCCTCATGGTGGGCCCTACAATCAATTCAGGACGATTTAAGAGCCATTCTATTTATATTTCGTATTCATGCAGTCGTTATGACAGCGGATATTGAGAAAATGTATAGACAAATTGTTTAAATATTTTATTATTTCGTTTTCACAATTTAAATATGTTTAAATGCGAGCAGTGTCCATCCACGTTTACATGTAAAGATACTTTAGTCAGACATGGAAAAAATCACGATGGTGTTCGTTTCACGTGCACTGTTTGTGCGTCGATCTTCAGCTACAAATTTCATCTAAATAGACATAAGAAAAAGAAGCATGGTATGTTTATTTTTAATATTTATTTTATGATCTGTTAGGTTTAATATCTAATTCAATATCTCTGCCCAACCAGAACGACAAAGTGTCATACAGTTCGCACCTCGTATTACTCGACCTACTCCTCAGGGACATATTCAGATTTCCCCTCGAATATTTGCCCCCGATGTTCCAGCTGGTGGCTCGAACACGGTGTCTGAGGACGAGATTTGCATGGACGATAATACAGGTTAGTAAAATTTTTTTCAAACCCGAATTAATTAGAATATTTATAATTTATCCGCCGTGGATTAATTATACAAAGACATATGTCGTTATATTATAAACCAATAGGTTTTATTTATCACATGCACATTTGATTAGATTTTTAATAGATTCGATACCACTTTTTTATTTTCATTAGATATTAATTAGGATTTTTTTTTTTAAAGATTCTTACAATACATGTGTAAATGGTAAACGGGTTTCCACTGCAAACACCGCCTCGTTAGCTAGGGTGAAAAAAGCTAGGATAGACATGGTTAAGACTCCTGGGTTCACTGAAATTTCCTCGTCTGTGAATCGAAAAAGCGTGTGGTATTATGCCAAAAATATTAACAACGTTCAAAATTATCTCTACTTTCTTCGCTCGCTCATGCCTGAGCTTGAAAATTTATTAAAGACATGTCTGAAAAAACACCCTATAAAATTCAATTTGAAGCTTGTGGCTACGTACAACCGTCGAACGTCCCTAATTCGTCGGAGAACAGGGCGTTCAAAACATCGTCCATAGAAATTTTCTCAGATAGTGACATTAGTACGATCATTGAGAGGGCGTACATCAAGTTGTTGAAGGAAGAAGAAGAATATAAATCACGCGGAAGTGGATATACACTACAGTCCATCGACGGGTTATTGCTAGGCATATATAAATATACTCCGATGGGTGGCTCGTCGTATATTCAGTTACCTGAATATATCGAAAGGAAACGGGGCACAATGTAGACCAGCAATGTTCCAAGTTGATGAATAAAAAAAGATCATTTCGACCTGTTGTTGGTAACGGAAGGCGATAATTCTCACTTTGCGTATATTTCGAATTTTTCAGTTGATACGAGCGCAAAAAAACTAGACATAATGGTCACGCTGTTTTTTGTAAGAGGTGTTTAATGAGCTTCGATAACCAGAATTGTAAGTACAAGCCGAGCGGGCAGGAAGCTCTGAACCATCATAAACTTATTTGCGGGGTGCACAAGCCTATTCTGCCGAAAGTGCTGAAGGAGGGGGAGTGTGTAGACTTCAAGGCGTGGAAGTAGACACAGCGTCACCCGTTTGCGATATACACGGATTTTGAATCATTGTTGGTGAAGACGGAGGAGAAGAAAAGCACGAGTACAACGATTATTCATAAACATGAGGCGATGAGTTATTCATTTTTAGTGAAGGCGAGCGATGACGTACCGGCGGAGTTATTGGCTCGACACGAGATACCAATAAAAATGACCGAGGGTGAAGAAAAAACACACCAAGAGTGTAAGGAGTGTAATTTATGCAAATGTAGTTTAGCCGGGGGCGATAAGGTTAAAGATCATGATCTGACGGTCAAATTTAGGCAGACCTTGTGCTCTAGGTGTAACTTAGAGTTACAACAACCTAAATTTGTCCCCGTATTTTTTCATAATCTCTCAAACTATGATGCTCATTTTATAGTGACAGAGTTAGGATTTAATACGCAGAGGATCACGGTTATACCCAACAGCGAGGAGACGTTTATTTCATTTTCTAAATACGTGTCAAATACCTTCACAATCAGATTCATAGACACGTTCTGGCTTATGGCGTCAAGTTTATAGTCCCTGGCTTAAAATTTGATTACACCGGGTCTGGAGAACTTCCGTGAGACAGCTAAACATTTTGTCGCCGGAGATATGCCGCTCGTGACTCGTAAGTGGGTGTAACCGTACGAGTACACAGATAGTTGGGAGCGGCTGGAGATTACGAGGTTACCGAGGAAGCGAAATTTTTATAGTACGTTGACGGAGACCGGCATTAAAGTGAGTGAATTTGACCAAGCTAAGGAGGTATGTGTACACTGTACACGTATTTAGATCTATATTTGAAAATTGTTGTATGTTACAGGTCTGGGACCACTTCGGGTGTACGACGTTGGGAGAATATAGCGACCTTTACTTAAAAATTGACGTGTTACTACTGGCTGACGTGTTTGAGAACTTCCGTGACGTATGTATGAGGGCCTACAACTTAGATCCTGCACGTTATTTTACCGTCCCTGGACTTAGTTTTGATGCGATGCTGAAGTTCACGGGGCAGAAACTGCAGTTGCTGGACGATTACGATATGTTATTGATGTTTGAGAATGGTTAGTATCTAAATCTATAAAACAGAAACACGAGTGGCGCCGCCTATGCACTAAATCCGAACTGCTTAGTGGACAAAGGAACGAATGGCGGGAAATCGCGGCGGCGGAGCCGTCGCTGCGTTATCACTCCTCCTTATCGCTTTTCGCGGTTTCGACCGTCTTTCACGATTTTTTTTCAAAATTTTCGAGTTTTACCCCCCTCGGAGGCCTCGGGCGGCCCCGTTCGGACCTTATTCGCGTTCCTCGGTAAATTTATAGTCGGCGCGCGGCCCTAATTTTGGCCCAGCGGGCCCGCGGCGGCGGATGTCGCGTGCGATACGAGCGTCGCCGTCGCGCGCGTTTTTTGCCGTTTTTTTTTCGAAAATTCGAGTTTTAGGCGTTTTAGGGCGTATCGACCTCCCCGTTCGGATCTTATTCGCGTTCCCCGCTAAATTTACAGTCGGCGCGCGGCCCTACTTTTTCAAAAACGAGTCCCCCGGCAGACGATTCGATCGCCGAGAGCGCCGCGTCGTCGCTGTTTCGACGGTTTTCTCGACTTTTTCGACTAGAGTCGCGTTTAGCACCTCTACGAGACGTCGGCGACGTATTCGAGTTCCACGCTAAATTTATAGCCGGCGCGCGGCCCTACTTTTTCAAAAACGAGCCCCGGGGAGGAGTGGCGTCGCGGAAACGAGAGTAGGTACCGATTACGTATCGCTATAATATACGGGCATAAATACATGCGTCTCGAGGTTCGATTTTTTTCGCAATCCTCAAGCTCGCCGAAGCGGTCGGATCGCCCCCTCAAACGCCTTTTGACGGCCGTCCAAACGGCGTTCGCCTTTCGCGTGCACGGCGACGTGGCTTAAGAGTCATAGATTTGACTCGATATTTCATCTCGGTAGGTGGCTAGGTAGTTTAGGCGTTAGGACAAGTGACTCGAGGGTCGTGGTTTCGAACGCGGCCGCCGGGATATTCGATAATTTGCGGCGGCCGTAATAAATCTGAGTTTTTTTTTCACTTTTCTTTTTTTCGTCGTTTCGCTATCACTTCCGTCTTATCGTATTTAACAAAAATGTTCGGTTTTTTTTTAAAATTCGATTTTTACCGCCTCTACGGACTTCGAAGACTTATTCGCGTTCCCCGTCAAAGCAGTCCTTGATACTATTTATTACTATACACAGCTTGAATATATGCGTCGAAGAGTTCGATTTTCTTTTTTTGCAGTTTTTTCAAATTTTTCGTATCGCCCTCCCCGTTTGGATCTTATTCACGTTCCCCGCTAAATTTACAGCCGGCGCGCGGCCCTACTTTTTCAGATACGAGTCCCGTT